TTAACAAAAGTGAGACATATCTTTTGTTTTCAGGTTTATTAAAATGTTTCTATTTAGGTAAATGTTTCATTAAATTACTGTAGGTGAATAACTGTTGCTATTTTATGTCAGCATCTTTTGCAGCAGTCCCTGCCAGTAAGGAATTTCTTTCCTTGCAATGAGATATCTGCCGTCTCCACTTTTCATAAGTAAAATGCTCAGAAAAAATCTACCTTTTTTTATGTGGCATCTTTGCTCTGTAACATTTTGATTTATTATATGTATAATAAGATGAAGATCTGGGCTCCTTGACCAACATTTTTTTTTTCCCAGTAATTTTGTCCTTAGCTGTATTTTCCGGTCATTATCCTGTTTTTGGCACAGAAGAAACTGTTAAAGGGCCCTGATTACAGCTGTAGTTTTTGGCATAGGAAATACCCACATTGGTATTAACTTTTAAATCTTTTGCCACTGAAAATAAAAATAAAATATGCAGAAAAGCCAGTCCTATCTTTCACAGTTGGTAAGGTGGTCTTTTTTGATAGACAGAGAACCGGTGACTAGCTTTAAAGCTCCATTGCATCTGTGTGGTTCATTAAGTAAACCTTGAGAAACATTTGGCCTTTTTAATATGCATTTTGGCAAATTCAAGATGGGCTTTATTGTTGTCCTTTGTGTAATTGCTGAGGCTCTTAAACAGCTTGTGCAATGGAGCCTCTTAGGTTCAACAATTATTTGTCAATCATAGATTTGGATATTTTCTAATATTTATTTGAACTATCTGTCTTAATCATCCTAAAACTACATTTACTCTTCTCTGTTGTAATAGGATGAAAAAGCTACTTAGAAATCGTCCTGTAGGCCTTATCTTTGATAAAGATGTCTTAACTTCTGCCTCTCTGGTCCAAGCTTAGTATGGTGTACATACCCTAACAAACTACCTGGTGCCACGTTTGTTAAACATGCTGTTAAAAATCGAGTTCGAAATATTACTGAGATACATAAATACCTTTGCTGTTTTGGTTTACTGTTGTATCTCCACAACCTATTTCCGACTTTTAAAGGTTACTGGCAGCTTTCTTAAGAAACACTCTGTAAAAGCCCAAAACAAATAAAGACTGCCACAAGCTGGATACGTTTATTTTATTTTTTTCTATCAGCATAATTGATCTTACATTTTAAATTGTGAGCTATATACACTGTTTTTTTTATCTTAACTTTTCAGAACACTATCCAAACTTATAGATTCAAGTGAAAGATAATGTATTTTCCATTTAACTGGACTAAGTAATGCTGTTATGCCAAAGGTAAAATGAGACCAGGCCCAGCAGGTAAGACTGCCAAGTAGCAGAAGTGATTTGCTACATAAAAAAAAAAAAAAAAAATCACCTATATATATACAGAAAATATGATATTTGTTTAACCCCAATAAAATCTGTTTAGCTTCATGGGCGCATAGACTTCTCCATAGAATTTAATAGCCTTTCTAAAACACTGGCCTGTTTTAAATACCAAAATTCCAAGTTTTTTTCTGTTAAAATTATATAAAAAACCTGACTTCTGTACATAAATGCTCACAAATGTAAAATTGATAATACTTAGAGAAACAAGAAGCTGTATAGAAGGGGTAATAGGGTCCCACAGGTCACACCTCTTTGCATTATTTAAGGCTAATTTATAAAATGAGCAATGGTTAAGTTCCTTTTAAAAAGATCCTTATTTACTTAACCAAAGCCATTGAGGCAAACTTAATTCTTTTCTTTTTTCTTTTTTGTTAGGATTTTTTTTCTGGAGAATCTTTCCATATATAAAGTGTACCAGGCAGTATACAGTATGATGCTAAGAAAATCCCTTTCTCTGTCAGTTGTAGAGAGGGCAGGAACACCTTAGAAATGTCTACAGTCGGATGAATGTAAAAAATAATTAAAAGAAAGTGTCACTGACTATGCAACTGCATCACCATGAGTCTAGATAGCTTTGGCTTATTACATGGTGTCACCTATTGCTGAGAATCTTCCTTGAGGAAATAATTTAGCTACTTCTTCCAAGCCTTGTACCCTTGTAAAAGTATTTTGTATAGGGCAACACAAAAATAAGCTCTGTTTCTGCAGAGTATGAAGTATCTGGAGCATCCAATAACAGCCTTTATGATTGGTAATACACTATCCTTTCAGCATGACTGAATGCAAAATCTGACTGATTAAAATTCCTTAATTCAGCTGAACATAATGTAGCTGGATATATTCTTTTTGCAATGAATGAATGTAAGAAGCTCAGTTGCTGAAATACCTTCATTATTAGGGATTTTCACGGTGCATAATCAGTTCACAGATATGCTTCTGGCAAGCTTTAATAACATTGTTGTTTGAATCTATTGTGTTATAAACCATTTTATGATCAAATTATTATTTGTAGGAGCATCTTGCAAATTACAACCGCGCCCACCTAAACAAAGGCTGTTTGGTAAGCAGGGATCTAAGAAGCTACGAGTCCTGACTGCCAGAAGAGAGACGGTACCATCATCAGGTACATTATTTATGTGTATCAGGGTATGTATTGTAGTATTGTCTTTTGGGCTTCTAGCCCAAACATCTACAAATCTAGTCATGGGGAAGTTAAGAGTATGATAACATGTTCTTTGTAAGACAAAAATAAAGACACAGTCGCATAGGACAATGATGGAAGACAGACATGATCATTTTTGGTTTTTCTTATTTAAATAGTTAGCTCCTTTATACTTGAAAATCTGTCCTACTACATATTCAGATAACTCAGAAATTAGATCCCTTCAAAAATATAGCATGAATTTTAATGCTTCTGTGCTGCATATATGCTTCTTTACCTCTTTTAAATTTTACATAACCCACATCAGGGCCACTTGCATGACCCTCCTCTCTCCAACCTGTGCTCTCTTCCCCACCGCCATCCCCCACATAACCCTCATGCGCACACACCCACTCTCACATTGTCCTTGCAAAACGAGTGCATGCGTTCTGAGAGCTCATTTATGGAGGTTTCTCCACAAGCAGTAAGCTCCTTTGGTGCAGCCCTGCCCACCGATGGAAAGTAGTTAGTTCATTAATGGTAATGTGGCACATTAAATAAAAGTCAGAGGGACATCTCCTGGGCCCAGGGTTTGCCACACAGTGGGCAATTAGAGGAAGTGATTATACTGTCGAGAGGTTCAAATGTGCTCACTCATTCAGATTTAGGTGCCTCTGTCTTTTAGCTGAGGTTTATCTTGAAGAAAAAAGATTCACTGTGTCTTACTTGCACTTACAAATTGAAGTAACTTTCATTAAGCTTATAACAGCTTTTACCCCTCTTGGCTTTTCTATACAGTGCCTTGCATAAGTATTCATATAAAGTGAACTTGCTCACACTACAATCACAATCTCCTATATATTTCTAAAAATTGTACATGATAAACCTGCACACAGACTTGTACCTGTTTTATGCGTAACTAAATATTCAGTCCTCTTTACTTTTATAACCATAAATCAAACAATATATCACCAGTAGTTACCAAATAAAAGCTTTTTGTAAGGTCATGAAAAGCATCATGAAAACAAAGGAAGCCAGCTGAGATTTAAAGTTGTAGATGCTAAGAGGCCCTTAGAATTTCTGGGTGAGCTGTGGAGATTCACAACTCAGGTGGAAGAACAGTTGTTTGTTCACAGAACATACTTTACAAAGTTTTATATGAAGTAGAAAACAATGCTCTGACAACAACGTTGCTATGATTAAACATAGCAGAAGCAGTATCAGGATGTGGAAAGGCAATTCTTCAGCAGGGATTTAGATTAAATGATATATGGATCCTAATAGGACAATAACAATAGAAAGGTAATTGTAGGCTGCAGAAAAATGCTGGGCTTTGTTCCAGCAGGAAAAAGACCATACAAATGTTGCCATAGTAAATATTGAACAGTTTAGATTCAAGCATATTCTTGTTTTGGAATGTCCTACTCAAAATCCAGATCTAAGAATCTGTAGCAAAACTTTAAAATTCAAGTTACTCAATGTAAGCTGCACAGGAAAGCAGTGTGCAGCACTGACACCTTGTAGCAAGACAGTCTGGGGTTGGATCTCTGGTGTGGGGAGTTTCTCCTTGCTGTTTGCATGTTGTCCACGGTATACTCGGGTTTTCTCTGAGTAGTGCAGCTTCTTCCCACTCCAAAAACATGAAGTGCTTTGGTGACCTATTTGCCCTTAGTTATGAGTGCGTGTTGATGGTTTTGTGTTGCCTCATGATGGACTGCTAGAATGTACCCCGCCTTTCACCAATAGAGTACTGGAGTTAGATGCCAGCCTCCCTTGACCTTGTAGAAGATAGATGGATGTTTCCAGATGTTCTCCATCCAATTTGACTGGGATCATATGCATGCAGCACACTTAAAGCTGCTTTTTTGTTTTTTTCATATGACTGAAATCGCATTGGCCTATTTCTTTTAAAGATTGATGAAAAGATAGTGCTGACATATAATGATAACAAATTTCAGGAATGAAGGCAGACTTTTCCTTGCGGATGAAAAACTGTATCAAAGATTGTTTAGTGACTATTATAAATAGAATCATAAGGTTCATATTATAAAGTAAATAATCTTAAAAGAAAATAAAAATGCTGCTTCAGTGAGGGATTAATGTATGTTTTGTAATCCCAGTTGTGCAGAGCTGCAGCCCTGCAAAGGTAACCAAGGAAGCCGCCTCCACACCAGAAGAGTCTCAACTTCGACCAGGTTTGTCTCCTGACCCAGAGGTCTGGAATAGCTGGGAGAGTAATGAGGGGTCCGAGCCCCAGCTCACTTTGCAGGAGGAGGTGTTCACTTTCTCATCCCTGCCGCACTCACCCAGACGAGGGCAGAATCAGGGTGATCAGGAAAAGATGGAGCTTGGAGACAGTCAGGTCCAAAGGACTGGTGGAGGGAGGCAGCATGCAACGCTTGAAGATGACTTTATCGGCAGTGAAAGTGATGAGGTATGTGTGTTTTTATGTCATTCACAAGTTTCATTTGCTTATTATGTAGCAATAAACTGTTAGATACAAATAAGTAGAATAACATCTTTTCAGTATCACAGGGAGCATTATTTTTGAAAGGTTTGATAGATTTCAAAGCTGCCCTTGATATTTTTGTCAAACAGCGTTTTTAAGTTGTTTCTATCGCAAATAAGGGATTCAGACACACATTAAAGGGCAAATGAAACTAACATCAGATAAATGTAAATAATAAAAGATGATTCCTGTATAATTGGCATACTGAAGAAGAATCTAACTTAAGTATTAGATATTGTTATATAGTTTTCCTTATATTTTTTAGATTGACCTGTCCTTTCCGGTTCATATGTATGTGTTTAAAAATCCTTTACTACCTCAAGGTTTTCTGGTATTTCTGCATATTCCAGAAAGGAGTCTTCTCCCACATCTTGCATTAACATTTGGAAAGTAGTGACATTTTAGCTTATTCTGTGTTGCTAAAACAAGTTAATCAGATTTTAGCTCTCTATATATCAATGTGGCATATTTATGAAAGAGCTTCACTAAGATATATTCATGCTATATCAACATTTGAAGATTTTAATTAATTTAACTTTAATTTAAGTTTGGTTAAATCAAATTAGGTTAAATTTAATCAAAGGCCATATTTTTTATGGTGAACAGAGAAATTAAAACTGTTTAAGTAAAGTAATAAAAAGCAAACTGTAAAGAAATGCCAAATTGCTTTACTTATTCAAACTTGTAATAAGTCTGGTAAATCACAGCTGAGTAATTGCAGCTGATATTTTTAATTAGAAAACCAGAAACTATCTGCTATTTCAACCACAAAAAAACAACAACAATAAAACAGTCCTATAATGCGCAGATCCACCAGAAATAAGACATCCATGCTCTTTGGTGAACCATCAGTAAAACATTTCAATGCTTCAGTATAAATTAATGTATTAAATTGACCATTGGTATCAGGTTTATTTTTGTGTCCACATTTACATACACATCATATCACAAATTAACTTGGGGGGGAGGGGGTCTTATCCTAAACAATTAAAACAAATCAGTTCTTATGCAGATTTCTTGAGAAATAAACATCAAAAATATGTTTATAATAAGCACGTCTTATTCAATTCACCATAGATTAACATTTTACTGCCTTGCAAGAAGAAGGTTCTGGGTTTGATTCCCGGCCAAGGGTCTTTCTGCATGGAATTTGCATGTTCTACCTAAGCATGCGTGGGTTCTCTCCGGGTACTCCGGCTTCCTCCCACAGTCCAAAAACATGACTATTAGGTTAATTGGCTTCTCTAAATTGTCCTTAGGTGTGAGTGTGTGCATGAATGGTTGTTTGTCCTGTTTGTCTCTGTGTTGCCCTGCGATGGACTGGTGACCTGTCCAGGGTGTACCCCGCCTCTCACCCATTGACTGCTGGAGATAGGCACCAGCACCCCTCGCGACTCCAATTGGGACAAGCTTGTCAGATAATGGATGGATGGATGCATTTATAGTTGCATATCTTTTTTTCTCTACCATTTGTAGATTTATTTTCCTCTATACAATGTAGCTCAAGCTCAATGTAAATATTCAAATACAGCATGTAAACCTGTATTTTTTCTAGTCTTTCCACAGTTCCTTAATCAGATTTGTTATGGAGTTTGACTGAGTTATTCTCACACATTAATTTTTTTGAATTTAACCCATTCCACTGTAACTCTAACTCTAACTAAGGTTATTTTTCCCACTGGAAGGTGGACCTCTCTTTGATAAACCTTTATTAACTCTGCTCAATTTTTCTGTTACCAGCTTTCCTGTAACTGCTTAAGAATTTCATTAAGACCATGCTTTTTTTTGATTTTCCACTAAATATTGCATTATGCATGTAGGCCAAAAAAATAAAATGAGCACACCTTCTTCCATTTTCCTGCTGTACCCAACATCTTTGTCTTTCTATCAGTAATGATTATTTTCTTGTCACTCTTCCAAAAAGTCAGATTTATGGGGTTGACAACAACTGGTTATCCTGTTTGAGCTGTGGATCTCTGAAGCTCCTCTGGAGTAATTATGGGCTTCTTGGCTGCTTCTCTGATTAATGTTCTTCATGCCAGGCCTATTTGTTTAGGTGGCTGGCCATATCTTTGTTTGCAGTTATACCAAATTCTTACTATTTTCATGGCTTTGTGAGAGTGCTGGGATTATATACACACAAAGCTGGACTCTGAAAACATTTGGTTAGACTGGTTGTCATTTAGGAATATCAGAACAATACAGGCTGAATACATTTGCATCTCACAATACAGATTTTTTATAAATTGTAATATTTTGCAGTGTTTCACTTTATTTTTTTTGGATTCACTGTAAAAAAAAAGTTAAAAACACCTAATAGAATGTTAATAATTTGGCAAGGCACTATGTATCTAAAGCCCCTCCCTCCAGCTGGAAATGCTCAGCATAATCTTGCATAATTTCATAAAGCACTTAGCTATATAATATAAGCTATATGCATTATAGTACAAAACAAGCTCTAAACAACATGTTTAAAAAGACCGACAATTTAAAGTGCTTGCTTTGTATGTGGGGAGGCATCACATGGCACACTCATGGGCACACTCGCTCTGCACGCCCACACAACCTCTCACAAACACACTTACACACCCACATGCAGACAGGTTGTTAGAGAAAAGCATCTTTCTCTCCATGCAATCAAATGATCATGTAGCCTCTTCGTTGAATTCGTCTGAACACTTCAAAAAGAAAAAGAGCACTTCAAAAGAAACAAACACCACCGTACGAGAGGACACCCTGAGGTTTTCAAAATACAATATCGTGTTTCGTATGTAATTGTTTTCATCTGTTGCTGCTTTTTTTTTTATTGATTCATCTTTTATTACAGAAAACCGGCCATAAACATCTGAAAAACAGGAACAATGCCTCTGAACTTTAAACCGACTGATTGAGAGCACCACTACTACTTCATCAGTCATTGTAAAACTTTGTGTCAGCTAACCTCGTTTTACACACTAACATTTGAAAACTTTTGTTCTTTGTGATGACCATCATTACTCTGTAAAATGAGGAAAACAAAATGTAGCCATTATGACAGTGCACCAAAAGAATGAAGAATATTTCTCTGTGAACTTAAAATTAAAGAAGCAGTGAGAATAAAACATGATAGAAAAATGTAGCATAAATCATAAAATAAAGGGTCTTACATTCACTAAATGTTAAGGCATATATCCTACTTTATATAGGTTTGTTTGATTTTTAAATTTAACATTATTATTGTTGCAAAATATTTAAGCTCAAATGCCTACATTGTTGAACATAACTCTACAAAGGTTATTTAATGTTTTATACACTGAATCAGTTCTGGGTTTAGTCATAGTATGAGCAACAGTAGTGACAGTAACTGATTGCCTAATAAAAGTAACATATTTTTTTATTTACTGCACAGTTCCTTATAAATATCTAGTTTGTTTTAGGGGTTGCCTGATCTGTCCGTTTTGTTACTGGCATGTAAATCAAATACAGCTTTGCTTTTTAATGTTGTAGAAAAGAAAAAAAAAATCCACCATGGCGTTAATGCACTCAGAACCCTTGCTATATTGGTCTAAGTACCTTTCAGTCCCACTTATGGGGTAATTCACATGCAACCTTCCTGAGCTGCAATAATGGCTACACAAGCACCTGTGAGTGAGGCATAAGAGGATCTTGATAAAGTCACATAAAGGAGATTTGTTAAGAACAGAATAAGAACAATCTTTACAGTTCTGTGGACCAGGTTAAAGAAAACATTTAAGTGTTATGACTATTTAATTCCTGGTAATACAGAGGCCATTAAATAATTAGTTTGAAGTTTTATTTTTGGTACATAATGAAGTAGAGGTTTAGTTAAAGTCATTTAGCTTTACACTGTAAGTAGTTCTGTGAAGCACTTGGTGATGTTTATATGGACTTCCACCAATGTTGTTGCCTGTTAGTTATGGGTTTTGCTCATGCACCTTCGCATAGATTTTGAACAGAAGATTTAAATTGGATATTACTGATAAAAAACATGATGACATTATGAATGCGAACAGCTAACAGCATTTCTAAATTAAACACTCATAACACTTCTGATGACGATGGTTTTAATAATAATTGTTTATGTGTTTACTTGGAAAAAAGCCTAGGTCTATCTAAAATAACGGCAGTTTGGGTCTTAGAGAAGTTTTACCCTCTTTTGTTCAAATATCATCTATAGGTTTTTACAGGAATCCACACTGCCAACAATATGAGCATATATATTCTTTCCTAATAAATTGCAAACCATTATTTTTTTTTTTTATTATTCAAGCAACTGTGTTGCCTCCTAATAATATTAAAAACATGTTTATCCATCCAACAATGATCAGGCCTATTTTGATTTTTGGTCTTTTACTGTAGGTTGCTCTTTTCCGAACTTGGAACATTATGATCTTTCAAAATGTTGCATCAGGTTCATGCAACTCTCTTGAGCAGACACTGTTTTTTAAACAGAGAGAAATATTAAAAGCAGAACAAAGCAACGAACTTACAGCATATGAAACACTTTGAAATGTATCAGAAACAACGGACCAAGGTAAAGTTTGTTATAATTTCAGAGGAAAGCAGCTGTTTTGATGTAAAAATAACTCAAACAATGCACAGCACAGCAGCTCAGTAAAGCTCATTCATGCTCCCAGCCCCACCCATATCCTGCCTTTCAATAATACATGTGATTCATTGTTTATTCACCTGAACTTATGAAAATGATAAAGCAGAGTAAGAAAGTAGAGAGAAATAATATGTGGAGCCACCAAGCGGAAAACCTCCAGGGGCTTGTGATAACATCTCACCCTAAACAAAGCTAAAGATGGAGGACAATAGAAGGAAGAGATAGTGTTGAAATAGAGTAGGATGACTTAATTTGAGAAAAATAATGGCCATACAATGTCCATAATGAATGTACATTTGCCAGCAATCAGTTCAAATGCATTCTTTAACTGTGACTCCCTGTTTGTGAAGAACTTGCAAAGGCTGGAGAGAAAAAAAAAGGACACATAATTAGAGAAGCATTGGTTTTGTGCTGGGAATTCTCAGTATCACTGAAAACATGGTTTATTAAAATATAAATAGAATCTGATGCATCTATTCATCAAGTTAGGATATTAAATCAATGTCAGTTTGTAACCAATAGTGCAGAATAGCACTAAATTAATGTTCCACAGAAAATCTATGCTTTGGATATGAAACATTCATGCAGTGTAAGCTTGAGCAGTGGGTCTCATGTGTGTCGCATGCTCCTTTGAGAACGACGGAAGCTGTTGTCAGCTCTGTCTCACAACCGTTGCAATGGATTTTTTTTTTTGTGACCCAGTTGTATATTGAGAAAAAAATGTAAATACAAGGGAGAGAAACTTTGCATAACCCTTTGTACATAATCACTGATACTTTATGTTGACAAAACAGCTGGGTTTGACATATATTACCCCTGAATAAGTTTAAAAACATGCAGGTGTGAGTTTGCTAACCTGTTTTCCCTGCACGTCTGAATGAACAACACATGCTTGCTTTTATAGTATGGCTGTAGGGTGGCCAACTGATCTGGACAACATTCTTTGAAGGATTTGAGATCAGATTTTTTTCTTATATTCTTTTCTTGTGTAATAGAAGTGGGTCACATTTGTGTTGTGAATTCAGCTCCCTTCCCTTGCAAAGTAGCAAGTCACAAACTTTTTAGCATCATGCATCTTTGAAGCTTCGTGGAGAAACTTATAGTATTCAAAACTGTGGTTTGTATGAGTTCTCCTTCAGTGGAGAGAAGAACCATGCATCAGTTTTATAATTTCCAGTGTCTTATGTTACCTCATTGGTAGGCACAGATCTGAAGCCGGTGGGTCTTTAAGTCTGCCTTTTTCAGTGTGAGGTCAAAATAAAAAAAAGTTATTTAGGATTTTTAAAATATTGTTGTGTTGAACGGTGCTAACTCTGAAAGACTTCCCAGGAATACATAACACCACTGATGTCTTCATTTGGTAAAAATCCAGATAAATCCAAAAATATTTTTGATTAAAACATGAAATTAATGTGGACACATTATTTCACATTAGATGCTAGAGATAGGGGCATAAATGTATGACACAAATGTGCAAATATTGACTTAGAGTCAGACGCTAAATAAAAGGCACTTGACTTGGATTCAAGGTCTTATGAAAATTTCTTCCTTGTAGAAGGAAGCACTGAAGTGTAGCTCAGTTAAGCAAATGAATATTGTTGTCCCCTCTGACCTACGGTTTGTTGTTATAAGGATTTACAGCAATCCTCACAACGATAAATTGAGATTAATGATATTTAAAGCTTGGAAAATGAAAGAACTTGGTGGATTTTTTTCTGCTGCTCGTTCTAATAGAAAACTGATGAATTAAGAAATTATGATTTTATTTGATTAGTATGTGTGCAGTTTAGTCATAAAAATCACAATTCTTAAAAAAAAATGGTATCCTGAAGAAGCCTACTTTGCTTTTCAACAGCAGAATTTGTCATTGTGAGGCTATGCATGCTATTGCAAGCAGTCACTGCCATACAGTCGCTTAAAAAGTCAAAAAAGTAAGAAATATTTTTTAATCATCACGTTTGCTGTTATCGCAATACCACCATTAACATTTGAAGTCCATATGGCCTGACCCTTTTGAATACAAAATTACCAGTTTCTGTGGTAACATCGTAAAAAGAGTTAACCTCCATGTTGTTCTTGTTTTATCTAATGCTACCATAACACAAGCCAACAGTCTGCTGCTTTAACAGTCTCCTATTAAAGCTGTGTTTGCTTAGTGGGGATTAAAATCCATGGCTTAGAGCAACCTGTTTATGTTTGATGTAGCATCATAGTAATCTTTAACTGAGCTCTGACTTTGTATTGTTTAAAACACACTAAACTTTCTCTTTTCTCTTCTTCTTTTGGCCTTCAATTAGTACCAGCACAATGTATCATTAATTCTTTAAAATAAAAGGACTTCCTTTTTAATAGATTTAGAAATATTGCAATTACTGGTACCGATTAATATCAGTTCATTTTCCCTGAAAATGTAAATAAAAAGCAGTTAACAAAAAAAAAAAACGAACATATTTAGAAATATTTTATCAGTAAATATTAGATCCTTTTATTTTAATATGTAACCTAACAACTGGCATTTATATTTGAATGCATCCTAATGTTAAAAAATAGTAAATATGGTCAGTTTTTATGTGATATACTTAGTATATACAAATAATGATTAGAGTAATTGTAATCATAAAAGACTTGAGACTTGTCTACGCCGTTGAAAAAGTATCTGAAACAGTTTCTGAGAACAGACCCTCTGTTCAAACACTCTTAGCTGTTTGTGTAAGCTTTTAACACTTTGGCACCAGTTACCTGTCTTTTACCCACACTATTCCGGCAATGCTCACATCGTTCTAAATACCAGAACAACACATATAAGTTTACGCTCCAATTTCCAAGAGTCACATATATTTAGTTAATTATTTACCTTTAATAGTGTTTTGAGTTAACAAAAAACATTGTTTTTCTTTTAGGATACAAGTCACATCATGTTCCACCATCAACAAACTAGCATGCCTTATCCTGCTACCAGCAGATCTGCTGATAGAAGTCAGCAGGTGCTGCCCATGAATCCATCTGAATCTCTACATACAAACCAAGTTTCACAGAACCAAGGTGTAACTAACACCTGCATAGAGTCGCCCTGCAACCGAAGAGCTGAACCAGCAAGCATGGTCCCCAAGCGCTGCCTCTCACCTAACAGACAACGCCACAAGTCTGAAAAATCAGATGAGGGTTTCGGTGAAGACATCAGCATTTCACTTTGTAGGAGACTTCTGCATGAAGTTCACTTCAGCAACTCCAAACAGCCTAAGGTAGGATTCACAAGTTTACCAATAATCACTGACCTTACAACATATATTTTACAATGGTTCTATGGTCCAGTATTTCTGTTTTTCTCCTTATGATTAGAGGATTCTACACTTGGTATTTTACATTTACAATCCCTTTGAAATTCTCTTTAAATATATGCTTAAATATTCTAAGAAGAAAAAATGAATGGAGCTCATTTGGAATCCCACCCTTCTTTTTCTGGGAAGGTGAGAATTTTATTTGTGAATGTGCATTTATGTATATGTAGGGTTAGAAAAATCAGCAGTTTCCCATTGTTTGTCTACTATAGTTTCCTGGTCATTTACATAATTAACACAAGCAGCAACACTTACCAACTTCGTGCAGGTGAATTTCTGATTGTTGGAATCCCTGCTTTTGGTAGAATATAGAAAACAGGGTCATGCCAAAGTGAGCTAATATTAGCACCCTTCCACAAATTATGTTAATCCAAGAGGAGGTCCAAATTGGTGCTTTTGGAGAGCACACTCTTGTGAGTTTTTCTGGTTTGAACAAAGAAATACACCAAGAGACTTTAACTCTAAGGCAGGTTTCAACAGAAGCCCACCACCTTCACACATGCTTCGACGTGAAAAAGTCAGATTTCCAAGTGATAACTCTTTTAACTGAATAGCTGTTGATGAGACACTGAACCTACTGTGAGTTCCTCATGTTTGGTGTTATAATGCCTAGCAGCAAAAGACAGCAGATTTTCAGATAACGTTGCATCAAAACGTACAAAAAAATGTATTCTCAGTAAAACGCAACCCATTCCTAGAATATCAGGCTTGACCCTAATATTTTTCCAACTGAAAACCAAGTAAGTGTGGTTTATACAGTGTATTTTGCCATTGTTTTCTTTGATTTGAATGTTTTGGACAACTGTTTTTTTAAAGCTGAAAATGATCAGATGAGATGGGTTGGTTTCTACTAAGGCAGAGAAATGTTAACCCTCTTTGCCTACATTTTTCTGCAAATATGCTAAACAGTCAAAGCCTGACTTTGCACCTGTCAGCTGTCCCTGCAGGCATTTATTTCTTTTAGAAGTTCAGAAGAATCCATCATGAACTGTTTGTCCTTTAAGAAACATCAGATGAAGCAGTGACAGAAAGAACAGGTATATGCACAGTGGGCTAAATCAAACATCCTAGCGGTTGTGGGGAGTTTGTGGACGCCACAGAGAAATAAAGAAGACAGTTGATTGTTGTTTGTTCTTTCTAAAAACAAAATGAAAAAGGAAGCAACATAAATATAATTTCCCTTAAGAGGACTTTATTCCTGTGGATTCCTGTGTCTTTTAGAACTTGGAAATATCATATCTACCTTTTCATGTTGTAAAAACTAAGATTTGTGGTCTTGTAGCAACCAAGCTGCATATTAACACATTTCTTGGTATCATAACTTTGTAAAAGTTTGAAGGCACCTTGACCTTTTTCTGCATTTAGTCTCATGACATTCAGGATGTTACATAATAGAACTAGGTGAAATGGTGTATTTAGAGCTGGAAGAAAATTCAATATTTCTACACATAAAACAAGAAAAGTGTAATGTGAATTAGTATTCCGCCGCCTGAGTTTAACACTTTAAAACTACCTTTTTCCGCAGTTGTGGTCTTCTGGGGTATGTCTCTACCAGCTTTTCCAATCTGGGGACTCACTTTCTTCTTTTCTGCAAAATAACTCAAGCTCAGTTAGATGGTATGAACAGCTTAATGTATAACTACATGCTATACTTTTCAGATGTTTACTTCTAAAAACAAGATGAGATTAACAGTTTTTTGTTTATTTGTAGTTAATTACCCACACCTGTTTTTAGTTATTCCTTTTGCTACTTAAGCCTTTGTCTTTCAGTTTCCCTATGTCTGGTTCTCGTCGTTCTGTCATCAGTTTTTGCATTAAATCCTCCTTCAATGTTATGTGACGCCTGATGTCTGCTTACCACTTCAGTCCTACTCCTCCACAAACCATGACAGATTTATTATCCTGTTTCTTTACAGTCATGCACTACATTGTAATGGTTTATTACATTAAGCCCTAATCAAATATATGTAAGTTAATAGTTGTTTTTTGGCAACATTTTTGGCAACAAAAATGTCTAAAAGTTTAAAGCCTATGAACATCTTGCAAGGCAATGTAGTTGTCTAGCTGTCCCTATACATAGCACTGTGTGATCACTGTTAGTCCACATAGCTAAAGGGGTTATAAATGAGTTTTTTAGAATTATACTATAGAAATAAGGGAGACTCTCACTCACATTGAAGCTGCATGCTTCAATGTAAGCGAGAGAGTCTTGTGCATGCAAAAAGCATGCACACAACTCTCTGCTGAGTGAAATCGCAGCATCCTTCATCAGTGGAGCACCTCACCCCTGATTTGTGCCAAACCCAGCAGGCAGCGTGCAGTGACAGCTTTGAGTGAAATGTTGTCAGAGAAATATGACAAGGAGTTTTGTTTCCTCTCCTGCAGCTTCAGTGTATTGACTACAATTGATTCACCACTAGGGTTCCTTACATTTGCCATACCAATAGAGTTACTATATTGGTCTCCTAAGTCAATAGATGTACTCTTTAAAGAGGGTCAAAACAACAGAGCTAGACCTGTAATTCCTTAATGACTACCTGGTATCATGGCTGAGTTTAAGAGTTTTACACCTATGTAAGCAGCAAAGAACACAGAGCTCATTTACACATTTCATATATCTTATTTCTTCTTATTTCTTATTTATATCTTTTTAATTGGAAAGGAATGCATTAGAACAGTCCAAACTGGCAAATAACTGTAAAGTTTAAGAAGAACAAAACACTTTCTTCTTTCATTTGTTTGCAAATAAGATAAAATTACTCTGATAACCAAATTAGTTGATAAAGTGCAAGTGTTTGTATTTAATCCAACCTAATCCAGCTGTTCTACCAAGGCCTCACAGGTTCGTTATAGAGGATTAGTAAACAAAACACTCAGGTGTACGAATCTGTGCGACACAGTTGCTATTCGTCCTCCACCTGACACATCCTTTATGAAATAGTGGCAAGGACGAAGTATCTGTTGTAGTCAAGTTTAAACTTAGCAAGGAGTCATGAAGGAGACACCTGCATTTATGCACAGGGGAATACTATGGTTAAATAAAACCATATTAACCTTTTTTAACTACATTGAAATGCAGTTTTGCAAAAACTAACGCTCAAAAACTACCATCCTGATGGCAGAAGATAGCAGTGGCAGCATCATGCTTGGGGAGTGATTTTCAGATGAAGCTGCTCAGTGGTAATGGAAAGGCTTATGAAGCTATATAGACATTTAAAAGACTTAAAAATAATACGTGTTAAAATGACTAGTTTACGTAAATCCATTTGATAGTCTCTGGTAGTAGATATGCTGCATTTAGTTGTGATTGTAGGGAAAGGGGGGTATACTAATAATTGGCACATACTCTAGGTTTTATTCATACATGACAGTTTATGGTGTTAGTGTTACAACATGTGGAACCGTGTAAGGGGTATTTGACAAATTTTCCACATATTCTAGGCACTGATTGTCACACCTATGGACTTAGTGTTGGATGCCTTCCAGATGAGTAATTTCTCTTTTATGGGTAATAAATTTAAAGGAAGAAGACGGTGAGATCCAAAGGACTGTTGAGTCGAGTAATTATATCTCACGACTGCACGGCAGTATGAGGATGTATGAAGATGACGAGGAGGAGCTCCGAATGTTGGCAAGCTTAAAAAGACAGGAGGAGGAAGATGAGTGTAGAGTTCCTGCCCTCAGAGCGTCTCAGATCCACCAGTGTGATGTCAGCATCAGCCTGAGCAGTGATGACCCTTCAACCTGGACCCACATCCAGCAAGTATGCCCTATCACCCTCTGATACTTTCCAGCAGTTCTTGTTAACTCTTTCCTAACAAATCCTGTTCAGCAGGATGATGTAGTCATTAGTAGGTTATTCTTCTGTCTGAAATATTTCCTTTGACCCTGGTTGACCCTCATTTCCACTCATTTCCATTTCAAGCCCCAACATATGGAGTCCTGAAGTACTAATGCATCTTGGCTTTTTGATTTACAAAGGACTTGCGCAGCATATTTATTGGCTTATTCCTGCTTTTAAGAGTACACAGGCACCATATCGGCAGCACCCCAAGTGACTGAAAATTATTTAGGTCATTTGAAATCATCCCTTTAGAAGTCTACAGAATTCAGAGATGGTGCAGTTTGCTCTTGGCTATTGAAGGTCATTATATTATGGCCCATTAGCATATGCACCACTCTTTTATGAAGACAGAACACTGTTGGCTTCACTGCGCAATCCCCACAGAATAAAAGTCATCACAAAAGCACAGGTTCTGGGGGTGTTAGCAGCTCCATACATGCAGGTTTCCTTTAAAGTACAGGGATTAAAGCTGCACATAAACAGGAGTGGTACCAAAAGGGATTTTCATCCTGTGGTTTGGTTTGAGGACACAAGGATATGGTCACTGTTAAAAAAAAAAAAGTTTCTGAAGCCCAGCTTGCATGCAGCTTTTACTGAAGGACTGAGAGAGATTTACAGAAGTGATCTGTTATCAGCAGCACTGTTTAAAAGTCTTAATATGCACAGTATGACAACAGCACCACCAACAGCATATAACGAAAAAATCCTCCTAAATAAAGAGAAAAGAGGGCAAGTAAAAGCAGTACAACATGTTGTGTCGGTAAATATAGACGTTGAGACATTAGAACAAATAAAACCTCCAACAAAAAATGAAGTGATGCATTTAGAACCAGAAGATAATCATAAAACCCTAATAGAAAAAGCAGGCGCTCACAGGAAATGACAAGCTATTTCTTGTCCCTGGATGCTGTGATTTCAGTGATTCCCACTGCTGTCATTCTTGCCATTGTTGCTGGTTTCTCTGCTTCAGCAGCCACTGTAAGAGCCCAGACAGAAGTTCTCCCCCAGGCAATGCTGTGCGAGGCTTGCATTACTAGCACTCTACGTGTAGATTAAGCAGTTGTGTGAAATTGTGTCACATTTACATGTGGTCTTTGACTTTATAGGTACAGGACTCTTTTTGGAAAAAAAAAAAAACAACTCTGCAGGGCAATATTTGTGTACCTTGAAGTATTTTCCAATTTAATCAGAACTCAGTTATGTGCTTTATTTTCCAGGAAAAGAGTGTATTTTTATATACAGCACTGTCAAAATCAAACTTAAAGAACATAAAGTTTAAGACCATAGTGAATTACTTCTGAGTGGATTTATTTACGGTTTTGCTGAAGCTTTAAGTAGCTGTTGAATGTTCTCATGCTTTTTCTTGGTGCACCCACAAAGGTAATGCATTTTATAAGGGTTATTAATGCATTAGACTAATGTAAAAAAAATGCAGAATTGTATCAAGGAGGGAAAATGATACATTCAATTCAATCTCTGAAAAGTGTTATTTGCATTTGTATTCAGCTCCCAAAGGGTCAACTCCTTGTAAAATGTCTACTACTGTACAGCAGCTTCCCACATCTAGGGACTGATATTTTTGCCCATTAATCTGTAATGAAACAGCTGGAGATAGATTCAATTAGATAGATGGTATGCTGCCACAAATGTGGACATTGACACATGGTCATAAATTCCCATTAATTCTAAAGTTTTTCCATCTCTACGGCAAAGGAAGGATTTCCACAGCATGAAGATACAGATGCTATAAAGGAATGATGTGTTCTGGCTCAGGGGGACTGAGCCACATAATGCATTTTGGAGTTACAATTTAAAAAAAAACATCATTTTGGTCTCGTTTTAGAATGGAATTATTCTACGTTCCATGTATGGGATTACCTATGGTCTTCTTTCTATAGTGGCTTTCCTCCTGCACTGTTCCATGATAATCAGACTTATAGCGTGCACAACTAAAAGTTGTACGACAAATTATCCTAATTAAGCTGCAGACCTCTAAAGATGTCTTGATGTTTGTGATAGTGCTGTTTTCATTTTCCAAATGATGGATCACACAGTGTTTATAACATGGTTAAAGTTTGATATGTTTTCTAACATAAACCTGATTTAATCTTTTACACAGCACTTTTCTGCTCATTTTACTGTGTCATTTTTCATTAATATCCTTTATTTTACTAAAGATCTCTTAAAATCTACGAGGCCTTTACAGAAAAGCTGCCTTTATCCTGAGATTGAATTATGCATATTATGCATATTTGGACTACCAACATGCACTATATAATAAGCTAACATTTTATGCATATTGGTACAACAACAACAAAAAATACACTTGAATTTATTTATTTATTTATTTATTTTTAAGGGACTGAATACAAATAGATGCCAGATTTGATCAGGTTTAGATTTGTGAAAAACAACACAAAAAAAACAACAAACATTTATTCTTTTACCTCCAGTTAAAAATGTGAAATATATTCATAATTGTGATAGAAATGTAAAAAAAAAAAAAAAGAGAAATGAATAAGTAAAAATGGAAGTCATTTAAACAGAACCACAAATAGCTCATATAAAAGACAGGTTACCAACAAATGATTTATCCCTCTGTCTTTCCCTGCCTAAAAACCTTTGCTAAGCTGAGATTGTGACAGATGCTGTGAGTAGTTTAAACGGTTAAAGCAAACGCTTTGGATATTTTAAATGCCACAAAAGCATCTGTAGAGAGCCACATCCAGTTGCCTCATCAAAAGAGCTCTCCTATATATCAGTGTTGACTAAACAGCTCATGACAAAGTTGCATTTTGCACAAGGATAAAAGCACAACAATCACCAACAACAGTGTGTTGACAGTCTTTCACACCAAACAGGGTATTCCTGTGTTTATAATGAAAATGCCTTTCTGACAAATCCTGCAAAACAACTACAGACGGTTGTAGTCCTGCTCCATTTCTATAGTTGCTAAGGTGAATATTTTTCTGTTTATGGCTAGCTTCCTGAGAAGTAGCACCAGTGATGACATCAGCATATTTTAAAAAAGTTCAGACCTTTTTTTTTTCCTTACCTAAAGCACTTAGATCAGCTTGACAAAATAAAGGCAGAGGAAGCTTTGAAACAGCTTGACACAGCACTTTTTTCTTATTGGAGGTTACAAACAGCCACAAACATTTTCTCATCATTGGGGGAAACAGATAAGAGATTCCAGTGTTTAGATACAATACTATGTGCATACAAGCAGTTAACCTTATAGAGGTTCTGAACCCTAACTTTTAACCTTTGTGTTTAAAAATCCAGCTTAGTGCTACATCTGAAACATAGCACTCTCATGACATGTATTGTTAAAATGTTTGTTCAAGTAAAATCTGAACATCCATCAGCTCAATGTAATTTATCTTGTTTGAATTTTCTATTAGCTTACTTTTGAAAAGAGGTGAAGCATCTTATTACAACCACTCATTCTGATACTCAGTTAAAATCAGTAATTAACCTAACATGCTTGGTTTGGCCTGTGGCAGTAGGACCCTGATAAAGGATCCAGAGGCACACAAAAAGACAAATTAGTCAGTTTAATCTACATCTGTCCCCCTGAAGAGAAAATGTGTAAAAACAGCATATCCAAGCCTTTAACTGTTTTGAATTAATAATAAATATACTGTAGGAAAGAGCTGAATTCTGGAATTCTGTATCCAGTTATAGATCATAGATTCTTAAAAGCCCTGACTGGCTGATATTACTGGCATTAAAACCCTGTTAGCCAATTTTAGTTTCTCTTTAAGAACAATAAATAACAGGAAAATCATTTACTGAGCTGGATAAAAAGCTTGGAATAAAGCTAAATAATAATTTATCCTAGGCTATTAAAAGCTTGCAGGGCATTCAGGCGGGTGTTTATACAGTATTACACCGTGTAAGAGAAAAGTTGTTCTCCAAATGTTTTGCTTTTTTGTATACCTAAAAGTTTACTCTGCTGCCTCACGGATCTCATATGAGTACCGGTATTTACCCAGTTCACTCAGCGTTAACTCAGTTTACTCTGTTTCCAAATCCAGCGTGTCTCATACCAGATAAAAGTTGGCTAGTCAAAAAGATAATATGGAGCAAATTGTCTGCAATACACACAACTTGCTGTTTTCTGTTTTAAACATCCTGCAGAAATAGCTGGCATAACCTTGTAGAAAATGCCATTCTTGAAACCTCATACTTGTTTTGTGGTTTTTCCAACCTTATTTTAAACATCATAGTTTAGAAGCTTGTTTACATTAGTTTTCTCCCTTCTTCATTCAATAACCACTTACACACACACAAAGTATAGGAGAAAGTTCAGCTATTTTGCCCCACCAATTGATTTTTCTAGGCATCTCTTAATTGGTTTAAACACAAAGAAAAATAAATGTTTTCCCCTTATCTTTCTAGTATCAGCACACTATCCATTTTTAGACTTTGATATATCTATAGTATTTTTGCTAGATACATTTTTTTTAATGATACAAAATGTTTTAGGAGAAATATTTAACTAATAAATAAGAAAGCCGCTTTTTTCATTAGTAAACACATCTTCACTATATTTCCCGTTGAATCCAAGAGAGATTTATTCCCACTGTAAGTGTAATATAATTACATCTGAAAGCCGCCGCTAAGCAAGGTTTCTGTGAGAGTTACACAATACACATTTGTTTCACTTATGGACAAATATTCATTGTTACTGCCTCGCCTGTAAATTTGTTTGGGCAGTAAGCTGTGCAAGTAAACAGTTGGAGTTGCATACATAGAAAATGAAAGAAAACAGCCCTGAGACGGCAGCTGGACTACCACTCATCCCCGAGAAAACAGCCTTGATTAAAAGAAATGCTCTTGAGGTAGACGGTAATTATCTGCTATGGTTTATTTAGACATGTTTGCCAATAGGATTCCACTGCATAATTTTATTCAAAGCCTTTTACTCAATGTTTTAATTTTTCTAAGGAAAAAAAAGTATGTTTGGGACAATGTCTAAAGAGACTAACACAGCTCTCAAGGTTTTCTATTTAGTTTTTACTTTTTTGCAGGGTTTTTGTACTCAATATGCAAAATCCTAACTTACAAATGTCGATATGAGATGGAGCTATAATAAACTAGAGCTCCATGATTGCTGATGATAACACAGTGAGACAATACAAGCAATTGAGATGTCAGCTGTAAAAGCCAGTCGTCTCATATGTGTTTGTATGAAAAGCTCAGCAGCAACTACTGTGTCTTGCAAGCCATCGCTGCATCAGCTGCAGTTGCAGAACTGAACCTTCAAACCACATTTAGCTGTCAAACAAATGGAAATAGTGTTCAAAATAAATGATGTACCTCTTAGAACAGCAGATGCATTTTTATATTCTCTTCATTGTAAGTACTTTGTTTGAAATTCCAGTTAAAGCAAGTTTAAATGACGACATGTGGGACTGTTTTTCTTTTACAATGGAATACTGAAATGCTTTCTAACCTTCAGCTTGTGGGGGTTTTTTTTTCTTCCCTAGTCCCCTCCTGGTAACTTGTCATCATCAGTCCATTTTACCTGCAGAAATCCTCGGGGTGCAATTTTAGTTTCTACTACAGTATTACATAAAGAAAGGCAGTGGGACCACACAGACAGCCAAAATTAAATCAGGCAATGCAAAGACCAAAGCTCCAGTGTGTCTTCTTCTTCATCAAAGTCATCTAATAAAATAGCCCTTACGTTTAAAAACACTCCTGAGGCTATACTATGGTATTTAGCCTCAGCAGGTTCTGTCTTTCTGTTTGTCTCTGCCTTCCCTGTAGTAGTTTTAGTTTTGAATAATACATCTGATAATTTGTTTTTTATAATTTTATGGATCCCTTGATCTTGCAGTGTTGACCTTTCTTAGCTCACCCCTTTATTCAGGTTCTTAGATCTCTTGTGTGTGTCTGCATATCTGTTTTTTCTCTGCTTTGGATTAAAATATTCGCCTATTCTATTGTGCAGAACCAAAACTGTTCTGCAGGAAACAAACTTTCTGACCAGGCAGCGTAATATATACATAAATTACATAGAAATATGAAACTAAAGACCTAAAGGCTTTTGTGAGAATTCCCCCCTGGTCCCCTTCATATTCTTGTGTGCTGTTTTGATGAGCAGTTCCAGTGGTACACTTTGTGTTAGAGAGTTGAGTTGATATTCTGGACCGTGTCTCCACAAGACACTCCTCACACTGAATATAATGCCTACCTGAGGGACATGCTCCAGAAATACAGAAATTACTCCGCTGATAATAGGGGCCATGCTGGCATGGTTTAATTCTCAGACAAGACTGCATTGAATTTAGTCATGGATCTCCACAAATGTGAGAGGAAGTACAAAGCATATGGCTCCATATGCATTTCTCAAGGACGCAAGCTATTTTGTAAAGCAGAGGATAAATCAAAGCACACTTCAGCAGTTGAATTCAAAGCTCACTTCCTCTGGTTTGTCCTCGCTGCAGGGCTGCACATGCATCTGCCAGAGGGCATCCTTTTGAAGACCCCATGTAAAACATGGGTGGAGCCCTGTCAGAAGAAGTCTGACTACCAGAGTGTATTCTTGTCATGCAGAAAGGTCAGGGACCAGATGGCCTGGTTTAGAGTTGTTGTTTTTTTATCTCTGACACATTTAGATTTGATGTTTACCCAAACACACCTAAGCTTCTGAATTTCAAAGCTCCAAAGCTAAGCTTTAATTTCATAATAGGTAATAGATTACATACACTTACAGTTCCAGACACTTATTTAGGTACACTTGTTCAATTGTTTATTAATACAAATAGTGAATAAGCCAATTACATTTGAGCAAATTGATTTGCTTGCTTAGACATCTAGACATGGTGACTAAATCAATCCAAGCATCACAAAGGTGAAGAAAAGAGATTTAAATGAAGACAGACCCAGCTGTCGCAAAGATCCTAGGCTAATGGTCTGAGTCTTTAGAAGCTACAGATTTTCATGTGAGATCATTTTTTTAATGTATAGAAAAAAATGTCCAAGTAACACCCAGAGAGCACTAGTATCAAGGTGCAAACACAAAACCAAGGCTATAATTCCCTCATTTAGGTTAGTATTGTTGGTAAAAGAGGATATCCTTTAAAAACCAAAATATACCCATATTTTGATTTCTACTACCAGAAGGATAGTACACAATGTATCAAAGCTTAAATAATCTAAAACTTCTTTCTAGAACTTCACAAAAAAGATGACTGTACTCCAACGGAGACACCTGATCTCAACTCAACCCAGAATCTATCAAAGAATTATAGATATGTGGTGAAACAAAGGCTTTGCATCATGGATGCACAGCTTACTGATCTGCAGCAATCATGTGATGCTCTCCTGTTAATGTAGACTAAAATAACCCTTTGCTAAATCATTGAAATGAACTACTAAAATACTCCTAATGGGAAAAAGGGGGTCTGATTCAGTTATACTAGGGTATATCTAAACAATAGCTATACCTTAATTTAAGGTTAGCTTACTTTATGAGTTAATTCAATGAAAGGGAACAATAACTGATAGCAAGATAGATGTAGCAACATTGCCAACACTCTTTCTCATCTACTTTTTCTGAAAAGGTGTTAGTCACCTTTAAAAAAAAAAAAACATAAATAACTTTCACAAATAACAGTAAAATTGTGAATCTTTAAGAAACTGTCATACAAATTATTAACATAAAATAATAAAATTAGAAAAAATTAAATGTTTCAAGTAATAACAATGAAAAATGTGTCTGTTTAAACACTAATTAAAAGTCTTCATGGATCGAATATGACATTATTGTGGACAGCTAGGTATGAAACTGATGCTTGTGTGTATGGAAACTGTTGCAGTGCAAACACAATGTGCAGTCAAACAAGTTCTCAGTGTAAATGGAACCAGCCATCCTTAGGCTGCAGAAACAAATCAAAATATATCAGAGAGACAGCAGGAACACTGATGATGGGGGAAAACAGTACAGTCTGATACATTCTGCAGTGGAAAAAAAAATGCACTTTGAGTTTAACTGCATTTAAAGGACCTGGTCCATAGGAGACAGCTGTTGTGGCAGTCCTTTCAATATTAAAGAAAAAAAGCAGCTCAGAAAATCCAGTTAAGTGAAGAAGGCTCTGGAGTAGAATGGCGGATCGTTATCCACATCTGTCATGAAACTTCATTAGTGCAAATACTAAGAGTTTGCCTTAAGGGGAAAATCATTCATTCGCAATTACTCAAGAACAACATTCTTTAAAGGCCGAGAGATCGACATTAACCAGGGTGCTGAATAAAAAAGGAGCAGATAAGGTTTGAATGGCTTATGATCTGAACCACACATCGTACATCGTAAGAAATATGTGGAGAAAGTAAGATAGCGGGGACACACATGGCTTCTGTTGTCACTGGTGTCTGCTGCTGATGTGATGAACCAATGCTTTCAAAGGTATTATGTAGGATATAAAGATTTACCAGCTGCTCTGATATCCCCAAATATAGTAAATTGGGTGAGCTTGAATTTTAACAGCTACTGTTTGTGATTTTTGTTTAAGGAAGAAGAGTGAAAAGTTATTCTGTTAGAGACCACTAATCTAATTTCCCTCATACAATTCAAAAGACAAAACAAACACAGGCAGCCGTAAAGCTTATCAGATCAACACCTGAGTATTTGTACTGGTGCACTGTCTCCACTTACTACCTAATTCATCATTGTAAAGCTTTTCAATTTACAATGAAGTAAAATTTTTCTGACTTTTTTGACATAATTCTGTTTATAGAAAAAAAGAGACTTAAAAACCCAGCAACAACTATCCGTTGGAAATGGCAGTTAGAGGCATCAGTGTAGAGCCTTGATGCTTGTTGATTTCTGTCTCTAATTCACATAACTTGTGCTTTTTCACACTGATCTTCTGACATGATTTTTATCATTTTATTTAGGCAGTGAATCAGGGACATCATTATCAGACGGAAATGAATCCTTTGCTTCAATCAAATCCAAGGTAAAAGCATGCATCTCACAAAACATGTCTGTGCCTTTTTTTTTTTTGAAATATAATATAATCTACAAACTTTTGGGCTAGATAAGGACAAGGGTAGGTTTTGTGTTTTTAATTTGAAAATCTCACTGGTAAAAGACTCGCTCCTCTTAAACAGAACTGACATGCTGTCTAACCTCTTTGCATACTGGATTATTAATAGCTGTGGTGAGAGGAGATAATAGTTTAGAAACTGTAAGCACCAGTGATGTACATCATGCATTGCCTGGAAAACAAATTGCCTTGAAGCTCAGAGTTAGGCATGGAAAAAAGGAAAAGCAGATAGAAATTCATAATCGGATGGTTACCAGTGACTGCAATATTTACTCTAAATGTCAACTGTCAGATGGATATGTAGACTGGGGCTTATCTTGCTCTCAGAAGACTCCAAATAAACTTGGAGTATGTCAGGTACTGTGCTTTCTTCTCCCAGAACTGCTGTTGTCATTTTCACAATGCCATTTGTTTCTTTTTTTATATACAGATTATTAGGCTTGACAGATTTCATATCTGGGGGAAAAAATAAGAAGAAGTTAAATTTTGGTAGACATTAGATTTTGTTTTGTTTGTTTTTTTAAACAGAAAGCAAGTCCTTTTGTCTTTACGGGAATCAGAATAGTCAGTTCTCTTTAACAAAGAACACCCATTAGACGTGTTCCACTGGTTTTCCTTGCCTGCAGATTGAAATTCAAACAAAAAATAGAATAAAATTCAGCAGAGTAACCTCTTATTACAAGAGGAGATAGAATAATCTAGTAATTCCAGCCTTCATTCAAGTTTAAAGCTGAACTACATTCTGCTGCATGACAAAAACATTCTAACCAGCTAGAAAGAATGTCTGAAATATTTCCAAACTATCATTTCTGCTTAAGATTCTAAGTTTCTAAGTAAAGGTAGAGAAATATTATGTTCTATAACATTCATGGGGAGTTGATAAAAAGTCATCAGTTTCTTCTGTAAAAAGTTATACCAGCTTATCTTCTCAGATATGTTTCCATTGTTATTCAGCTCTATAAGTTGCAAAACATCAGTATTTTGAGGCCATTTAAGCGTCTTTAATGAAACACAAATGTATTTAAGTGGTTTTGTCATTTTCTTAATCACATCACAAGCCAAACTTCTACTGAGGGCTTCTAAAATACTGGAAGGATCTTAACATATAAAGGAGAATTGTATAAACAATTATCCAAGGTATTAGATATAATGTGGAATACAGTAAATCAAGTTGAGAAAATATGGATGAAGAGTGGAGAATGCAGAACAACTTTGGCATTAAAGTCAGCCGGATCATTTTTCAAACCTGATGAAAGGACATGGAGAAGACTGGTCATTAGGAGCATTGAAGGAGTGTAGAAATTCCCAGCAAGCGATCATTGTAAAAACAAACTGATATGTTCTCATGTGCTTCATGTATAAGGTTGTGTAGTCTAGCAGGATAGAAGCTTTTCTAATGAAGAAAAGGACGTAGCCCTAGGTATATTTTGGAAATATATTGGAAATTTTTTCATTTCACAATTCCAGGGGCTGCTATCCAAAAAGACTGTAATTAAACTGTAAGTATTTAATTAATGAAAATGTTATCTTCCTTGTTTTCAGCTCTAATAGTAATCATTTGAACAGGTGCACAGTCACATTACAGATCTAACAAGTTCTGAAGTTGTTTATCCTGGCCTTATGTCTTTTACATCACAGAAAACAGACACAACATGGACACACTGTCTCTTTATTGCCACTGTCAGTCAAAACTGTTTTGGTCGTTGGAGAGAGATAAGGCTTAGAAATCTGCTTCCAAACACACTAATACCTGCATTTTTCCATCGATACACCAATAAAAACAAAGAATGCTAAATGATTTTTACAATGCAAGCATGTCACAGTATACTGTTGAGTCTGTGATACCGAATCCCAGCCTTTATCTGGGGCTGTATTGTTACTATTTATCCATCTGAGCGCCCTGCTGTGGCAGTGTATGAATGGATTCAGTTGTCCTTGGAGGCTTCAGGAGACATTAAATCGCGCCAGCGCCTGCTGAAGCACAGCCTCATCTCTGTGCTTGTCCATCTCTTTATGGGCGTACACAACCATGTGATGTGTTACAAAGGAAGACAAAGAGGTTGCATCACAGATCCGCCACTGAAATTATACAACTCCAAGCACCACCACCCTCAATCACCCGGCCAAACGCTTCAGATTTACTGATGAAAAGCAAGGTTCCTACCAGAACACATGTTGACTCCCATGTGTTTAAATAGTCACTGTGTCGTTTGTAAGAACACATGTAAAATATCTCCTCAGCTGTGGGAACAAACAAGATAAATGTTTTCCTTTTTGTTGTACTTGGCTAACAAACTATGCGATTGCTCAGTGCAGGGATGTTATTTGATTGAATGTCCACTGAAATGGATATTAGTATTGAATAGAAGCTCAAACATACAGCTCTGTAGCATCTATAGCTGTAATGCTGAAATTAGACTTAGAGGCAAGTCATGATTTACATATTAAATAGCAGCTGCACAGGATTTCTGGCTGTTTTCTTTGTTTTCTTCAAGGCTTTGGATATTCAGACACCCCTACAGTGAATAATGTTATGATTTTTCGAGCATTCTGGCATCACTGCAAGGCTTTCTCTCTGCTAAGAGCTACAGCTTCCTTAACAACTAAACTGCTCCAGTCTCTGAGCTTTATGTTGCTATGGCTTCTTTTTTTTTTACCCATTTTTTTCTGCAGCTTATTTTCTAATCTAACATGTGTACATTCATCTTGTAATTGTCTCAGGTGTCAGCTGACACACAAAATGAGAAAATGCAAATAAGAGTGTTAGAAAACGATTTAGATGTAAATAGAAGCACAATAGATTCAAAGAGAATACATTTGTGAGCTTTAGTGGAGTTTCAAAGGTGTAAAGAAAACATACATATTTTTGGATTTTTTTTCTTTTTATGGAAGCTATTCGAAGAGCATATTTTCAATATACTGACTAGCTTTGCCGAGGCAGCGTACCTGCTCACGTTAAATGAAGATGAATTATTCTCTTCATCCCACGCCTGTATTTGGAGTGTAATAAATTAAAATTCCAAGAATTTAATAACTCTTGCCAAGTCCCACTTAACATTTTGAAGTCCAATTTACAATTCGGTTGCAGGGGCCCTTGTCCTTGAAAATTGCTTCTATTAACTTTTGTACAATGTCCCTGCCCATCAAACAGTCAGAGTAGTTTTTTGAAAAGAGGTAAAGGCTTTTGTTATCCAGAAAAATCAAACCCTCTGAAGAACTCGTGCGTGGGAATTCTTTTAAATGCTATTAGAGCAAAAATAAAGGAAATTAATTCATCTCCAAATACATGAAGATAATGGATTTTTAAATGTGTAATTTTTTTCTGTAAATATTCAAGAGAATGTTTGCTTTTGGTGTTGAGGTCTGTTCTGTATTTTATACCCTTTTGCACCTTTACTCACTTAGTACCAAAAGCCGCTTGGTTATTTTGACCCTACCATGCATGAGTCCTTACTTTCTGAAGTAAAGCATTGTACCTACTTTGTTAACCACTGATTCTAAGCAAATTTTTGAAGGTATTCATAAACTTCTATAAGGAAAACAACATCTGAATTCATCATATGACCTGCTTTGTAAGAGTCAAAAAGCTAAATCTAAGATCAAAATCAGAATGTAAATAAAGTTTGAATATTACTATGCAATTGAACTGATACATAGTAGTGGTGGTCATGAGTATTAATTTGGAGGGCAACACCTGTAGAGTGGCATGTGTGAACTAATAAATTAAGGCCCTCTGCAAGACATCATTCTTCCATCAATGAAAAAGAGTGTAGTTCTACTTCCATTCCTTACTCTCCCTGATGCTCAAAAACTTGTCCTTGCCATCATTTCCTCTTGGCCGGACAATGTAATACTTTTTAACCTGTTATGTTAAACACAAATTTCCAGAAGTTTCAGTCTATTCAGAACAATGCAACCAGAATTTAAACTAAAACTCAAAAAACCTCACCACCTTACTCCTGCCTTTTGCTTTCTCTATTGGTTTTCTGTCTCCACTCTCTATCAATGCAAGATCCGCCTCCTCAGCTATTAGTGTTGTCCAAGGAAATGCCCTTGTATTCTCCAGAGAACTGCTCATTCCACACACCACAGTAGATTCCCTTAATTCCACAACATCATCTTAACTAAGGTCCAAAGTAATTTATATGGCCGTGCTGGTCTTCTGCACAGCTGCCCATGGAGTGCACAGAGTGTGGAGTCCTTTAGAGAAGGACAACACACCCAGCTGTTCTTTAAACTCACTATGTTAATATTTGGGGAATTTATTCTTTTTTATCTCTTCTTAGATTTTTTTTCTGTTGTTATGAATTTAATTCGACAGTTCAGCTTTTTTTGGGACTTCCTGCAAGTAATTAACTACAATAAACAATAAACTGACACCATGGTTTAAGTACATGGGCACAAAATGAATGCTTGCAGGCACAAACTAGAGGTAGAAATGGAAAAAATAAATGCAATGCTAAGATAAGAAATATGGGTGTGATTTAGAGCCATTTGTATTTTTATTTATTTATTTATTTATTTATTTATTTATTTGCATAATATTCATATGAACTACCTCTTTTGTGGTTCCATTAATCATGCAAAAATTTTTGTAATGATTAAATTTGTCTGTTAATTTTTTGCAGCTTTTGAGAAAAGCTTCTTTGGATTTATGTAAACGTGTTGTTTTTTTTATAAATTGACAAGAGTCTTAAATATGTCATGTTGCTGGCAGTGTGCTGTAAAATATAGCAGTAAACAAACCATGAAAAATTTGCCTCCTAAGTGGATGAACTGTTTTCAGAAAGAGCGACAGCAGCAAACATTGCACTTCTGGATGAGAAGGCAGACCAACCAGAGGCAAACGCTTGAATCTCCTGCTGCCAGGCGAATATTGTGCAGAAGATTATACCATAATTCCACATTAAATATGCTCTGGTTTGCTCTTATCCAGAGGCGCAAAATGTTAATGGATGATTGCACAACTGATGTATAGCTGAAAAATGATTATGGATGCTGTTTAACAAATGAATCTTGCATCTCTTCCGAGTAATAACTCATCTTGCGATATTTCCTCCCTGGCTGCAATCATTCACGCCGTGCTAAAGGAGCAGAGTTTTCACTTACTGGTAAGTGAAAGATCTATAGTTGTACCCTGCGTACATCACAGATGGGGGAGGATGCACTCATTTCGGGAGAAATAAAGTCATGCTCCCACAGAAACAAGCGAGGTTAGGACCCTGAGTCGTTGCCACAATGTGATGTTACTTGGAAGTCACAGTTGGAGTCAGAATTTAATAAGTGATCCTTCAGGTAAATCTGAGAGGCTGTGGGAGAAGTGGCTCAAGGACAATGGAATCTTAGATGGGCTTCTGAGAGTGCATGATGATGGGACTCCATTGTTAAAATGTCATAGGGTAAGATGGTGAGTGTAATGGTATGTGTTGTCATGACTGTCTGGCTTTATGGTCTTTTCCCTAGAGAGTGGATGGACGTGCTCAGCCCTCCTATTATGCCTCCCAGCCAGCAGAGAAGGTCAGGCAACACAGAGAACAATTTGGAAAGTCTACTCAGAGGTATGGTAACCTTCATTTTAGTCCTTTTACCCTCACTCTGCCTTTTATGTCCTTGCAAGTACGAAAGACGGCAAACAGTCCACTGCTTTAAGACTAGTTACACGAAAGCATTCAGCTAATGGAAAGAGTCGCTGCTGAAAGAGCTTTCAGAGATGGTACATTTCCGCCAAGGATGTGGGCAGGAAGATGGGACACCAACTGAAAGTGTATCTAATTAGGGCTAAAAAAAAAAAGCCATGAGAATGAAGCTCCCTGTCCTCCACATAACACCATAGGTCAGAAGAGACAGGCTCATTACAGGCCTGTACCACCCTAGACACATCCGCAAGGTTAACTGATGAAACCTTTCCAGTTTACTACATCACTTTTAAACCCCTAGCACAACGTGTCATATAATTAGTTTTCATTATTGTTGCCCACGTTCGGATAAGATAAAATGCTCGTCTCGATGCGTTCCATAACCTTTTTAGCATTTAACTGCCTGTCAGTTTAACAGCTTGGTTTCTGCGCTTTAAGGTAGTTGGGGATTACAGCGAATCCTTTTACGGCTTCATAATTTGGTTCTGCGTCTGGGTGTCTTAGGGCTTGATTGATTAGGGAAAAAATGGCAGCGGCAGAAAACTTTTAAATCCACCTCGGTCTGAAGGTCACGAATCCAAGCTGTATTCTATTAAAACTTGACAGAGTAGGCCTTTCTTCGCATCTGGCGTTGCAATGCAACAAAAAAATAAATAAATACAAAAAGAATATCTGTGCTGACTTGATTGTAAAGGATGCTTTCTTGTTTCATTCTGCATGTATTGAACATGATTTTTTTTTTTACTTTGGTTTTCTCTGTTTTTAAACAGGGGGGAATGACTTGGTGCATGGAGAGGAGAATGGAGATGAATATCTCAAACTGCTCTATGATCCGTGCCTCAACTGCTATTTTGATCCAGTGTCAGGGAAGTACTATGAACTAGCATAACTCAAATCCGTTTCCCATCAGAATTGATAATTCATATTTAAAGCAGATAAATTACTCCGAGATTTTATTTTACAGTTTTTTTGAGGCCAAGCTTTATTGATTGGAAGTGAATTCCCTTTTCACCAAAACCCACCTTTGTTCCAGGGAACCAACGACAGCTTTGTTTTGCCATGTGTGGTTAGTCAAACTCAACTGTAAGGCATTGGGAAAGTCACTAAATTAAACACATGCCCTTTTGCAAGTATGGGCTCATTCATAGTGACTTTTAATGACAAAAGAGAAGCTTTTCATAAGACTTGCTTTGGAAATGAATATGGAAACCTTCTGAAAGAACTTGCTTGAGCTTCCTTTTAATATAACACTGTCTAACATTTCAATACTAAAAGGACAGATGCTTCCTATTTAGTCAAATTTATGCAAAAAAAGCTATCAAAATATGTTGATGTGGTTTTATAGTATTTAAAATAAAATTGATGTGAAAACTGTGGTTCCGGTTTCTTGTGTTTGTTTTCTTTTTAAATTAGTCAGAGCTGTCCAAGAATACAGGAATAAAATGAAAGATGATTGATTTTAATACATTCAAGTGAATTTGAAATACTCCAGGCTTTTCATGGTGTTTAACTTTTACTAGGATAAGCAGCAGGTGGGCTGCTGATTAGGCTGGCAGGTCTCTAACCATTTCTCCCCCACAATACTTGTCACACCTGAAGCAATCGGGTGTTGGCTCATCATTTTCTGTGGCTGATATAGAATTGTTGCACAAAATGAAACAAAAAATGAAAAAAAGTGTCTCTGTTCCATTAGTTCTGATCACACTGAATCTAAATCATTCAGTTAGGGCCCTGTCACACCATGCCGATTTAGCCAGTATATACCTGACGTCCCAGAATCTCCTAAAAAGCTGGCATACACTGAACTTTCTATGTATTTTTTTCAATTTTGGGTGTAAACATAGCGTATCCATAATGAGTCCAGAGCGTATGTCCAACGACAGCCTAACCTGTGCATAACGCACGGCAGCGTAATACCCATTAAATGATGCCCAAGCCAGTGTCCTAAGGGGGGCAGCGATACACCTGGAGGCGCCTGGCCTGCATAGAAAGATGTCTTTGATTACGGTACTAACCTAGCTTCTGTTTACCGCCTGCCAAAAAAAGATCAAGACAGAAGAAAGAAAGAAGTTTTGTAGTCGCAGCAGATTCAGCGTCATGTCTGCAAGGAAGTTTGTTGGTCGTGGTCATGAAGGCAGGGAGGTTCCATCACACTCACCTTCACGCTCACCCAATGATGGGGATAAAGTCTGGAGGAGAACTGACAATGGCTACTTAACGTATGTCAACGATCAAATAACTTACCTGTAACTTGTGGCCCACGTATGATCATACGCTTGCATACGTCGGGACGTGCTGTATGATGACGTGTGCTGGTGTATTTCAGCATGCTTCAGCTTACTTCACCTCATAACGTTTTCAAAACGTACCCATAATTATCCAACGTATGCCAGCCTTTTTGCCAGATTTTCCGTACATGTGTGTCATACACTTTCTAAATTGTCAAGGTCTGACAGGGGCTTTAGTAAAACGATTCACTTGTGAACATGTGTTTTTTATGTAAGATTTTGGTTAGAAGTTAGCAGCCATCATTTGTAAAAGGATGATCATTTTTTTTGGCTAATTTTTTTGCACACAGAGATACAATTTTATACACTGGCTGAAGCATTTACATATTTTCTCTATTCACGTAGCTGGCTCTAAGCAAGTCTGGAAAAAAAACAAAAAACCTGTTGTAGCTATAAACACAGTTTTAGCATGATTTTTTATTTTTTTTTATTTCAATTTAATTCAGTTTATTTATATAGTAATAATTTACAAAATGTTATCTCAAGGCACATTACAGAGAAAATTCAATCAGAGGAAAATTCCCTTTTAACAGGAGGAAACCTCCAGGCTCAGTGTGAGCAGCCTTCTGCCAAGGCTGATTGGGAGTACGAGAAGAGAGAAGCAGACATACTAAAGGAACATAGAAGCACTGATCCGGAAAAAAATAAGTTCTATGTTAGCAAAGGTAACAGTGAACTAACTCCATAGGTGGCTCTGTCTATGAAAGAAACAGATAAGCAGATGAGCTTACCTCTTTTTCATGCCAAAAGTGATCAAAGTTAGCACATACAGTTAGTCACAGTAAAAGCTGACCCCACAGCTATGTCTACATGGGAAACAGAACTAAGCCATAAAAAAGCCCCAACTCTATCATCCTGAACTGAAGGTGTTGATGGCTGCAGCCCAGTTGATATTTTCCTCTAGGATGGTGTGAGAGCCAACAGAGAGCCACCAAACAAATGTGGCTACTATGATGAGAAAAAGCAGAGAAAAGATAAAATTAGAGTTTTAATTTATCTAACCAAAACTCTAGAATTGCAGAATAGAGATATAATGAAGCAGTCCTTATGTCCTCCAGCATTCTAAGCCTATACTGTAGTAGCATGATTATAGAGATAGTTCAGGATAACCTGAGCCACTCTAACTATAAGCTTGACAAACAACAAAAGCTTCAAGCCTTTAAGTGACTGACTAATCAGCTTCTTTTTGAAAGAACAAAGAGATTAAATTCTGTTTTGTCTGTATTAAAAAGATGACATTTTTGAGTCATCCAAGTGTTCAAGATAAATATTTAAGACATGACTGTAGTCTATGTAATGGGTCAGTTTCATCAGGGTTTATGTACAAATATAGCTAATTATAATTTGCTTAACAGTGGAAGTTGATCCCACACTGTCTAATAATTCTACCAATTGGGAGCAAAGCGAACTGGTCCCAGCATGGATCCCTGTGGTACTCCACAGGTAACCCTGATGCTTGAGGAAGATTTATGATTGCCATGAACAAAATGAAATCTGTCAGAAAAAATATATTTAAACCAAGTCCTTCTGAAAGAGTATTAGGATCGACTGCATCAAGTGCAGCACTGGGAGCTAACAGGACAATTAAAGATACAAGTCATTTATCTGAGGCCATGAGGATGTCATCAATGACTTTCACCAGGGTTCGGTGTTATGATGAGCTCTAAAATATGAATGAAATGCCTCGAAAAGGTCATTACAGTGAAAGCATCTACAAACTTGTTTTACAACTATTTTTACAAGATTTTTAGATAAAAAAGACGATTAGATATGAATGTGTCTGAATATTGACCTCTTTACTCTTCAGAAATTGAAACACTCATTTAATTTGGCTGATTGCCAGAGCTGAGTATTTTGTTTCCAAAGTGAATACATTCACAAAAGGGTTCTTTTTCACAAAATTAATGTCAAGTTGCTTTATTAAAACCAGTTGTGAAGAGACAAGAACAACCCCTACAAATGACTCTGTTAATAAAGCCTGGAAATGATCTCAGAAGGTCTGATGAGAAGAGTGTTCCTATATCTAGCCTGAATTATGCCAAAACTTCTTGATAAAAAAATATAATATAATAAAAACATTGGTCTAAATTGTTGTGGGGATTCATGTATGTGAGTATATACTTTGAGTGGATGAATGAAAACCTTCAAAAATTCTAACGATTTCAAATTTCTAAAAAATTATTAATGTGCAACTGTTGGCTTTATAATGATTCCAACCCAGAAAATACATTAATGAAGGCCAAAATGAAGGACATTCAGGCTCATGCTTGTAAACCTTCATCTTTAAATGTATTCAGTATTAGACTATTTCCTGTATATTTCATCATTTTAAATTAATAGTTAAGACCTACAACAAAACCTTGGACATACAGTTGAAAAAAATCTGATTTCTCATTTTCTCATGCCTTACAAGACTCGTGTAGAGGAAACTGTGCTGCAGCATGAGTGTTAAAAAGACATTGAATGTTATATAAGGAGCTATCATAAATTAACTACAAGTCATACATTTTAAACATGATCTCAATGTTTTATATCATAATGCATGACTGACTGGGATGTGTCGAGGGATTACTTGTGAGTTTGGCCTCCTTGGTTTCCCCTCAAAGTCGAGGATAATTTAAGGAGCGATGATGATCCCATGGTTCTCAAACGGTGGTACAAATTTTGAGGTCAGGCTTGGTAAGACATCTCTTTCTTTCCCACTCAGAATTCCACCTTCTAATGATCCACGTTACCGGTAGTTTATCTAACTTCAAGCTTAACAGGTTTTGATTTAATGCGTTCTCCATTTCCTTTTTTGTACTAATTCTGTTATTGTACTATTTAAAAATACATATGTAGACAATGGTATGCTTGCCATACACTTCTTAAGTACCGGTAGTACCAAAGGTTGGTCAGAATGTAAGAAGCATTGTTTTCTGTCTGCCAGGCCTGCTGTAGCATTTTGAGGGCAATAGAATAAACTTTTTGATATGAAGGATCCTGGACCCAGATGTGACAAGTATTTTAATTATATGAATCAAGAAAGAAATTACAAGGTAGAATATCACAGGGCCAAAAAATGTATAAAAGGCAGCACCATAATGGAACAGTAAACAGACATAGAGCAGTCAAATGGAAGGAACCAGTAATGAGAGGAGAAAACCAGGCAGCTTATACACAGGGGACAGGAGAGGCATGGAGTGCAGGGGGGAAGTAATCGGGTGAGAATAAAGAAGTAAAGTAATAGACTGAGGGAGAGAGAATAATTAGCAGAAGGAAAAAGAAAAATGCCCAGGAAAGAAATCCTAACAACAGTGATAATACAAAATATACAAAAATTAACTAAGAAATTGATGTACCATAAATTAACAAAAATGGCATCAACCAGAGAATGAGAGAAAAAAAAACAAAGACACATACTGTAAAGAAACCAAGAAAATCCTTCTAAACAGAGATTTATGCATACAATTGGAAGAGTTAGGTTTTTAAAAAAAATCTTTAGGTAGATTTTACTGACGGGATGTATTATGGCCCATCAGGCATAAAAGTCTGTTAAAGGAATTTAAGGTTA